CCACAAAAAAAACTCGCCAGCTGTTTAATGGCACAGAAGCGACCCTAAAAAAAGTTCCCAGTGACAATCCCTCAGTCCTTATGTGAAATAATGTGGCTTTTTCACATTGATGCCATATTCTGCAAGTGCTGGTGTCAGGTCTTCCATGGTCAGCGTGTACTTCTTATCCTGAAGGGACAAGGAGTAGTGTCAGTCACAGCAAGGACAATCTAAGCTGCCAGGCTTTCCTCATAAACCTGGTGGAGTTTAGGATTTTTCCCCTACAAGCTGTGGTGACCTGCATGTGCACAATTCCCAGAAGCAGCTGCAGACCAGCACTTGGGGCATTAACCAGCTCTCAAGTACTGCACGTTTTGTTTGCTCTGTGCCCTCAGCTGCTCAACGGACAGAAAGACGCTGAGCATTAGCCAATGCTATAAAGATAAATTACATCGCCCTCGTGAGGCCCCCGAACCGCAAACAGATGACGACTGGGAGAATTCCCAGAAATTACGCCTACATGCTTGCTCCCCGTTTATGTTTTTCCCCAAGCATGTGAATTTTGGTCGCTGTCAGAGGGAGGACGCAGGGCGAGATGGCCCTCGGTCTGATGAGGTGCAGCTACTCACACGTTCCTGTGAAGCCATCAAAGCATATTCCACTGCCCACCTCATTTTCCCGCCAGCGTCCCTTTTCCACCAGCAGAGCCCCAGCTTATTAGTAAGCGTGTTGACCCTTCAGGAGCACAACAGGTTTAAGACTTTCTACAACCCACATCCCCGCATTCGATGGCAGCAAGTTTAGCTTGCTACAGCCCCAGGAGAGGACGCTTCCCCTCAACCTGCCATTCTGTCCTTCTCTCACCTTGCTCTTATTGCGGGAGCTGCCTGAGGCTGTTCCCTTCATCTTGCAGTGCTGCAGCGCATCGTTGGCAATGTCAGAAATAAACTTCTGTGCGGCCAAAGAGATCAAACGAATGCTACCCAGCAGAGAAAGAGAAGGGATAATTTCAGACAGACAGCAGAGAGCACCACCGGGACCAAGGAATTTCTGTCAGGACCCTGGCTATCAGACCCCATATGGGGTCCTTGAGACCACACTCTACCACACCCGCTGCCACTTACATGCGTGGATCAGAGGCCTCGAATCCTGCTCTGTTGAGGTAATACCCCGTGACAGCATCTGGGATCTGTACAAGAGAGAAGTTGGAGGAAGCCTGCTTCCCGGTGGCAGCCTGTCACCTGCGTGCAGCCTGCCCCCAGCGCGTCCCGTGTACCGTAGGCGTGTAATCCTCCAGCTGCATGAGGAAGTCCACCAGCGGCGTTGTGGAGACCACCGGCTTCACGTCCCCGTTGGCCGCGCTGGGTGGCACGTAGACCCCATTGGACATAGCCCCTTCGGGGGGAGCTGCAGCCACC